TAGTGCTCCAGTGGTATCATGTGGTTAGAAGACGACTTTACTGGATTGAAACCCAGGGAAACTCACTAAATCTAACTTTCTTATCCTGAATAACAACATTCAATGTTGAAATTAAGAATGAATATTTCATAAACTTCAAAGTTCAATATTCTTGTTGCATTGCTGTTATGCTTCTTATGGCACAGTTCATTATTTGATTTTCAGTTTTTTCTTTTAACTCTCTTATTATGGGCTCTCCCCTCTCCCAACTTTTATTTTTAGTGAGTGACTTGATGTGTAAATGAAGATAAAAGGTATTTAGTTATTAACGCTAGTATCTAAGAATAGTTTTTCTCATTTTTCTCCCAGAAAATCAATCTGAATTACTAATCCTATTGTCCCTTATAGTACAATTAAATTTGGTTTCAATATGTTTTTGAAAGCAAGGGAGGACTGCTATGAAATTCAAAATTATTCTTATGTAGATAGGTTGTTTAAACAAATAACAATTGATATTGATACTGATTATTTGTTTTCCAGAAGTATGTCATTGTTTCATTCTGTTAAACAAAATTTAAGAGATGACTTAATACAAGAATAATTTTTACCCCTGGCCTTTGGAATAAATTATAATTACAATCATATTACAATTTATTTCATTTGTTAAAACTGTCTTATCTTACGGCAAAATTTTTAATAATATATGTACTTTGTTACATGAGCTTTTTGTCTGTAAATAAATATTATTTACACACACAGACACACACACACACACACCCACAGACAATCTGTTTTCCAATTACTACCTGGGTGAGAATAATGAGAGATGTTATTCGTAACATACTTAGAGGCATTAGATTGGGGAAGATTGAGCTATACAGATACTGATTGTTTGATTACGCACTGTATATCAGTTGCAGAGATTGCCAGACATATAATTTCAACTGAAGGAGGGTATTTTCATTTTAAGACACTTCTTTCTTTAAAAGCTTGACATATTTATCTTGTAAATACAATAGATGGGGGAAGTATCACTTCATAAGTTTAGTGATCTAGTGAACCAAAGGCCAGATTCAGTGATATGTGATGCTTCTTTGCCTTAGTACCTTTAGCCATTTCAGTGGGACAAAGATGAAATCTCTGGAAAAGCATGTGAGAACATTTCAAGGGTTTCCAACTTTTTACCAATCCAGTCTAAGGATTTATGCTTTTTTAAACGGTATCATTCTGCTCCTTTCTGCTATGCAGCTTCCTTCTCTTAAAATAGAAAAATATGCTCCCTACTGCAATATAGGGAGTATGTTATTTTTGTTCTAAAAGTTACTTTATATAAAGGCTTTGCTTAAAGTTGTTTATGTCCTAGTCATCTCCAGATTGGACTATTGAAATGCAATCTACATGGAGTGGCTCTTGAAAAGTGTCTGGAAGCTTCAGCTGGAACAGAATCAGCAACAATTATGTGCTTCCTAGAACAGCATGTGACATCTCTGCTCCATGAACTGCATTGGTTGCCAGTTTGTTTCTGGGAACAGTTTAAGGTCTTGGTTTTAATCTTTAAAGCCCTTCATGGCACAGGACTAGACTTGTCTGTGGGACTGCCACTTCCCAATTACATTAGCCTGCCCCATTAGATCTGGCAAAGAAGGCATACTGCAGCTATAATCAGCTGGGGACCTACGTTTCCCAGATATGCTGTGGTATTCACCTTATGAAATATTTTCCTGTCCTCCCAAGATTAGATTAGTTCCATCCTTTTTCACATTCCATAATTCCCTCATGTCCTGGTTAAGTTATCAGGCCTGGGGCTCCCAGGGAACCAGAGACATTCTTAGAGGTAGCAATTTTTATCCCCTCTTTGCCTAGGATTTGCATATTTGTTTTTATTGTATTTATCTTTTAATGTGGACTTTCTATTTCTTTCTATTGTTATTTTAATACTTATTTGATGTACGTGTCAGCACCTCTCCATTAATTAATTAGGAAAGAAAGACCACGAGACTCCATG